GAAGAAGAAGGGAAAGCCGAACATCATTTGAAGTCGCAAGACGGAAAGCAGACAAGATATGTAGAAAAAGAAAAGAGGGTATGAAAATGGACAAATAGAAAAAATGAAAGTTAATGTCAAAACTAACGAAATTAGAGGGGCTCACGAATACCTAAAAAAGATAAAAAAAAGTAGGTATAAACAAGTCTATGTAAAGATGAAAGTGGGGAAATTATCAGTGACAAACATAAAAGTCACAGAAATATGGAAGCATTATTTTCAGACCCTACTTGGTAAACAAGTAGACATATAGGATGAAATGGATACGAACTACGTACAAGTACACCGAAGTAGAAAATGGAGAAGCTCCAACCATAGAGGAAATTCTCGAAGCTATTAAGGCCCAGAAAACCCATAAATCCCCAGGAGTTGACGAAATACCAGCAGAATTGTATACAGTAGGTAAGGAGTAAGTAAGAATTGTATAAGGTGTATAAGGAGCAAGTCACATCCACGCGCTCATCAAAGACATATGACAAGAAAAGAAAATACCCGACGACTGGAAGAAAAGTATAGTATGCACGATCTATAAAAAGGAGACAAACTCCAGTGCAAAAACTACCATGGAATTTCTCTACTATGTACAGCATATAAAGTCTTCACGTATATTAGAAACCAGCGGCTCCAACCACTAGCAGAAAATATTATTGGAGAGTATCAGACGGGCTTCCGAAGGGGAAGATCGACACTGGATCAAATATTTACGGTCAAACAGATCTTGAGTAAATCATGGGAATATGACATTGATGTTCACAACATGTTTGTAGATTTCAAACAGGCATACGACTCAGTCTAAAGGAACAAACTCCACAATATATTGGCTAAATTGGCAATACCACACAAGCTAATTAGACTCATTAAAGTCAAAATGGATGAAATTCAGGCATGTGTATGAATACAAAACCACCGAACAGACTTTTTCAAAATTTCGCATGGTTTAAAACCAGGAGAGCATCACAGGGTGATGGGCTGGTCCTAACTTTGTTTCACTTGGCACTGGACTATGCGGTTAGGTAAATGCATAAACTGGACGAGGAAATACTACTGACCAACCGAACGGTTTAACTGGCCCCTTATGCCGATGATATTAATATTATGAGTATGAGAACAAATATAGTCTCACAAAACATTATACATGAAGATGACATTGAAACAATCGGAAAGTTTACATACACGGGAGTAGAAATATATGCCGACAGATCAGAAGATGGAGAAATACGGAAGAGAATAACGCAGACAAACAGCTCTCTATTTTTTCCTCTCTCTATTTTGCCCTCTCCCATATATTTCGGTCTAAAAATATTCACCGAAATACAAAAATGAGAATCTATAAAACCTTAATTCGACCAATAGCATGTTATGGCAGTGAAGCATGAGTCCTGAAAGAAACATCCAAAAGCAAACTCGATACATTCGAAAGGAAAGTACTAAGGAGAATACTAGAACGTGTGAGGGAAAACGGAATCTTCAGAAGACTATACAACAACTAGCTTTATCAACTTTATAAGGAAACACCACTGTCAGACTTCATTAGAATAAAAAGATTGCAATGGGACAGACAAGGTGGTCAGATATATTCGGAATGTCAAGAGAGCCAAAAAACAAAGGCATCAAAGTTCCTGCATCCGACCCCATCCAGCGCCTAGAAGGCATACGATATCACAACCAAATTTACGTAGAACTCTGAAGACAGTCCCACCTAGATCAGTTTCACTTAATGAACTTAGATTTGAGTTAGATAGTATAACTGAATCATAAATTCTAAATATTTAAGTTACAGGTAGCACTACACGAGTGAGATAATTCAAAAACCGAGTAAATTAGTATTATGATTATTTTAAACTATTAATATTATTTTATATTTTATGTATTTAGATATTTTCTATTGGTCGTCTGGTTCTTATAGAGTGGCCAATATGTTCAATCATTAATTAGTCCATTAATTTGTAATCTCACATTAATGGTAATTTTTCCGTAATTGCCTGAATTTGTATAATTTCACCGTGTATAATTGTGAAACATATTGAGAAGTTGTTTAATTACAGTTGTTCAACTTCCTGCAAACTATTGGCAAATATGCCTGTAATCATTTCCTCGATTCAAATTATATTTGGTAGCTTTCAAAAGTTCAAGGTTTTGTTCTATGCAGAGGGCAATACACTTATTTGATGAATCGTAGCATTTTTCTGAGATAATAAATATGGCTTCGGGACTAGTTTGAGATGCAGTCTATTATAAATTTTTTACCGTAACAACAACTAGAGTGTAATCATTCAGTAGCTGTCAATAAAACTATTTTACTCCACGACTTCAACATTTTATTTTATCATCTGAAATTTAAATCTGATTACTGAAACTATAATATATGCATCGCCTGTGCTTCCTAAAATGTCTCCCCCACAAATATTGCAAGGATCCAACACTTTGGCGTCAAGTCAAGCTGTGTCTTCACAAAATGTTTTAGTCTCTGTTCCAATTCTGACAACTATCAGTTTGTCTCCATAATTATTGAAAACTTAACTCCATTATCGCCTTCTTGCGGTGTGCCAATCGAATTGGTAAATATACCTCCTTAACTCTTATACAGGCTCAAGGTATTTCTCAAACCGAAGTTTGAGAAGTTTGTTAACATGTTATCTATAAACTGCCTTGTTTGGATTGCCAGAGCTGTTATGTTGGCCAAACTTCTCAATGACTAAAACAAAGGGTGACACAACACAAAAGTGACTGCACAAAACAAAAGAATACATGTGCGACAGTTGACCATCACTTAAAAACTGGCCATCAATTTGACTATTCAAATGTCAGGGTTCTACAGCAAGAAAATAATTACAAAAAATAGTTTTTGGAAATGTGTCATATAAATAGAGAAAACTATGCAGTAAATTTCAAGGCAGGCACGGGAAAGTTGAGCAATATCTACTGTAATATTCTTAGTATGTTCAAATAATTTTTCTGTTTACAATTATATTTTAAATCACCCTGTATATTTTTAATATGTAATTTTATTGTGTTTTAATTATTTCTTGGTTGTTTTTGTTTGCTCTGTTTTTATATTTAATTAATAGTGACCTAGGTGCTTTTAACCAATACTGCCAGTACTGTTTTGAACATATTATGTACAACAACTTTGTTTATTCTCATCTGAATTTTTATATAACTTTTAACCATATTTTAGTTGTCTCCTGATGAAGCTGACAAAAAATCAGCGAAAAGATGGTTTCTTGTGCTTTGGCAGAGCATGTAATAGACAAAGATCATATTATGGATTTTGATAATATTAAAATTTTATGAAGTGAAAGTAATAAATTTAAAAGAACTTTTTTGGAAATGGTTTGTATTAGCAAAAGTGATAATAATTTAAACAAAAGGTCAGAAATTCAAAATCTAAGCAAAATTTATAATTATATTATTTCTATGTAATTTATATATGCAGTCAGTAAAATATCACCTTTTGAATTTTCCATGTATTTGTTACATTTTTTCGTGCATCTATCAATGGTGAATAAATCTTCTTCTTTTTTGTTACTAAACAAAGAAGAATTTTTTAAACAAAATTTTATTTTTGACAATATGTCAAAAATAAAAATTTTTAAGTCAGTATTTATGACATTTAGGCGGTTTGTAGCTATTCAATTTTAGTTTACAAATTCAATTGTTTTTGTTAAGAAACTATCAAAATTTTTCAGAGAAACATTTATTAGAATAGGACATTTTTTTATTAATATTTTTTGTAATTATTATGTAAGCAGCAGTTTTATATAACAAACTAATTTTATTTGGTGAGTTAACAAAAATTTTTTTATTTCTAGTTCAACTTTGTAAGATATTTTGTATTTTTTAGAAGGTCTTGATAATAATTGTAATCACAATTGAAAGCTCGAGTAAAAAATAGTCAACAAATAGCCCCTTTTATTGACTCCAACCCATCCAAAACAGTTTTTATATATATATTAGCCCTATACTTCAGAAAAGCCAAAAGAATAAAGAATATGGGCTATGTGTACTCTTTATTCTTTAATTGCAATATTTCGTTGGTGGCCTTACTTACAATTCGAGGCTAATGCCATATTGAAAGCTGGTCATCATTTAAAACAACATATTGCAAAAATACAAACATCAAACATTGAAAAATGGTACAAAAACAAACATAAATCATTGCTATTGTAAAACCGTGTGCTATTTTCTCCTGTGTTGAATTAACATTTTATTAAATGACAATGAATAGTCTTAACTACATGTTCAGTTTATTGGCGTTTGAAGGATATAACCTTTAAAAACTAAAAAGTTCTTTTCTCTGTACAGACCAAGAAGATTTTTGTGACTATGGTATTGACTTGATGTTTTAGCTTACACAGTAAGTTCTTTATTTGAGCACTAAGTTGCACTAAAGTTGTTTTAACACAAGATGACAATTTAAATCTTTTTAAAAAAGAACGGATTTATCGCGACATAAACTTTGAAAATGAGATGAAAGACTCAATTTTGATTGTTGAAAATTGTTTTATGTTTATATTATGAAACATCAAGAAGTTAAATTTTATTGTTTTTTGTTTTCCAAAAAGTCTATTATAAATTATGTGATAGTATGATGAGTGACTTTAATTTAGTCTAAGTTGGAGTTTAGAGAGTTCTCAAATTTCATATGTTGTTTGTCAACTCTTTGAAGAAAAGAATAAATTTCAGTGAGATGATTTCAATCTGTTTTTTGTTCATATTGTTTTCTGTTTGTGCTATGAAAGACATCTCTAGGTACAGGCTTTTTTATAATTGGTCTTTCTAGAATTTTAACGGATTCATATTTCATGTGTCCTTCATTTAGTACATGTAGTGCTAATGAGCAACGATCATGATATAGTCTACTGTCACTCTTGTGTGAAGTGATACGATTGTTCAGGTACCTTTCTGTTTATCTTTATGTCTTTATGTATATCTAACACTATACATATTGAAGAACTTACTTTATCTTAGTACATCTATAAATTGGATTTAAAGGGCTTCTTGTATGTGTAATGGCCATTTCTGTGACTGATTCACTAAGGTATTCCTTGAGTGCTGCCTTGGCTTTTTCTTTATCTTTACTTTGTCTAACCAATTCACTACATATTTTCAATCTCTCAAGGCACTCAAGTTGTTTTTGTAAAATTTGTATATGTTCCTGCGTTCCTCTACAGTAAGCTTCTAGTATAAGGCCAAATCGAACAGAAACTGCTGGAACTGCCATCTCCGACCTAAAAAGTAAAATATATTTTGCAGCTCTGCAAAGAAAGTATGTAAAGATTAAATTATTATTTTTCAATAATTAAGTTAAAAATGTCGTCCAAATTTGGAAGATCGAGACATTGAAAACTTTAGAGATTCAGAAATCAAAATGTAATCATATACCATTTATACAGCAGGCATACGCAAATTTGTAGTTTACTAAAAAGTTAAATATTTGTTTTTTAAAGTAAAATAAAGACACTAGACTGGAAAAAAGAACTCAAGAAAGAATTACAAATAACTATGGCCACTATTTATTTTCTAACTACAAGTGAAATAATACCTGAATGTTGCAGGGCTGAGACATTCATTTATTCATTCATTTTGTAGACAATCTCAGGGTAATTTACCGTATCTTAATCTATAAATTATTATACATATCTCCCCTTTTTTCCACGGCCGACGATAATATTACGAAATTTAATTATTCACAAAATTTTTTAAAAACCGCTTCCTCACCTGGAGATGGGAAAGTGAAATCCAAGTAATAACTACTCTATTTTCTGGGAATAACGCGCAATCATAATTAAAAACATAAATTAGAATAAATAAAATCTTTCTTTTCCAGCGGAAACTGAAAAATCCAGCAAACTTGTGACTTACGATTTATTTATATCTAAAAATAATTAATTTTTTTTCCTTTTTGGTAGCTGTCAGTTATACACAGGCCGTACTGCAAGCCAATTGGGTTGTTCATCTTCCATTTATTCATAATACACCTTCCAGAATGATTTAACCCTGTACCAGCTTGTACAGGTCTAATGGATTAGTACCACACGTCCAAAAAATATTTCCGGCTACGACCTAGTGCCCCGCACTCATGCAAAATATGATTCACGAAACATTCGCAATATATACAGGTGCCCTTTGGCGGCCTCATGTCTAGTAAGGAAGCCTCTTATGATTCTGATTTGATTTCTGCTTTCCCGCAGTACTTGCATCCCATTAGCGCATGTGCCTCCAATATACGGTTTGCCATGTGCTTGATCGGGTATATTTTCCTAAAAACAGTTATGTTTTTTTCCTGCAGCGGAAGATGCTTTTGGCACTCCTAAGGCCGGCTCTGGACCGAAGTATTTTGTATCAGATGCTCTTTTAGCAGGTTCCACTTTACCAGTGTGACACTATGATTATTATCTAATTATTATTATCTAATTCTTCTCAGAATTCTCACACTAGTCTAGAGCAGGGGTCACCAAATTGCGGACCGCGGTCCGCATCCGGACCGTTAGCTTGTTTTTTGCGGACCGCTGTTAAATTCAAAATATAGTAATAACATTATAGTGCAAAATTATAATCAAATCTAAATATATAAAATCTTTACATTTTTAAAATACACAGTACTAATATTATATAGAAATACTCGTAATCTAAACAATATGACAATATGTTTCGACTAAACGGTTCTGTTCGGAGCGTTCGGACTAAACGGACCCTAAAGAAAGTGGCCTACTTGCCTGGTTTCAACTATGTAATTGGGGTTACAACTACTGGAGGGTTTCTGAGCAGTAGGTTTTCGAAACGGACCCTCAGGGAATATAATTGGCGACCCCTGGTCTAGTATACTTTAGAGCACCCACAGCCGCTTTACTATCAGTGCTTATGATTTGTATTTATTTATACAAAGTATTATTTCAGCTTTCTGGTGGTTGATGCTGATAAAAACTGATTTGTACATTGCCTATAATATTTTATACAACGTTACGACATGATTATTATTGTATTGTCATGCGCGCTTTCATCAGCTGACATCACAATGCGCTTTCATCACAATGCAAGATTGCATAAATCTCTGTCTGGAATTGGTCTATTCTCCTGATGAAATAGAGAGTTTTACATTTCTACTACTACTGAAGATTCCTACATCCGACCCTTCTGCTGTTTTAGATCCTTCTGTACACCAGGTGTAATCCTGTAGTCTGGTTTTTGTTTTTCGTTAGAATAACTGATATTCCACATTCACGTTCTAATAACAAATTTCAGATTTCGGTTTAAATACACGAATTGTTTTTACACAATGTCACGTATGCGTAGATATACACTATATTATTATAACAGCTCCTCTTCCATGTTTAATAATATCTTTTTCTAATATCACGTTTTGGCATTGAAATAAATTCAAATCGAACACATCTAAAGTCGAATTTTAAACTGAACCTTTAAAATCTTTGTGCGTCATATGTCACAATGTATTGCTGAATCTACCTATAGATTCCAACAAGTGGGGAGATAAGACGTCCCCCTGCGAACAGCCTCTGGCTACCTGTATTAAATTATATCAATCAGTAACGTTGCTTATATCATACTGCTCTTCAATATGTAGTCTATCCACCTGTAGCTTCTTTCTTCTTTCAATAGTTTTGCCTTTGTGAGTACTTCATAGGAGGTGTTGCCGAATGCTCCCTCTATATTAATAAATGAATTTAGCGTAACGTTTCCGGTTTTCCAGAACGTACTCCACTCTCTGTACTAGATGGTGCAGTACCGTTTTCGTAGAACATCCTGTCCTATACGCATACTGTGCCTGATGTATCATACTTTCAACTAATATACCATTCCTAATATGTCTATCGATCAGTTTTTCTAGAATGTTCAGTGCAAATGACATCAGACTTATCGGCTCCTGGGACTTAGCGTTTTTCCTGTACAGTTTTGCCAGGTCTAGATATAAAGCTACCCTTAAGAGTTTCCATGCTTTTGATATATACCCGAGTCTAAGCTAACCTGTAAGTCACATCTCTTCGTCATCTGTAGACGTATTGGGTAAATTCCATCCGGACCAGGGAATTCATATGGCTGTAATGAGTTTATTGTTTTCAATTTCAAAGTATATTTTTCCCTTAGTGTTTTCAGAACAAAAAAGTTCTTTAAGGGAAAGAAATATCCAGATATCCAGAAAATAATAGATCAATATAAGTAATGATAGTGAAGCGACTGTGCGTCGGAGAAAAAAGTCTACGAGCTCACAGGGACATGAGCACCAATCCCTGAAGTACATAGAAATTAAAATTGAAATTAAATTTCAGTAAAATACCAAAGCAATGGTAATTACTACTAGGTATACATATGCAGAATATATATAAATTGAGTCCATTTAAACACCAATATTAATTTTAACACCACAAAGTGTTTGAGGTTCCAGTTGGATATTTTATTAACATTTAATTACTGTATGTCTTGATGTTGTTTCCTTATTTACAAGAGTGCTTCTAGAAGACGTTCTGAATTTATTTGAGGGACTCGTTTCCAAGGATATGGTGGAATTATACCGTATTTGCCTCACTACCACCTACTTTTCATGGGAAGGCCAGATTTATGAACAGGTAGATGGAGTAGCAATGGGAAGCCCACTACGCCCAGTCATAGCTAACCTTTTCATGGAGCATCTAGAGAAGAGGGTAATGGACTCAGCATACAAGCCAAGGGTATGGTTTAGATACGTCGATGATACTTTTGCGATTTGGGGTCACGAAGTAGAAAAACCTAACGATTTCCTGTCTTATATAAACACACTACATCCAAATATTCAATTTACGATGGAAACAGAGAAACAACTAGCGTTCCTAGATGTTAGTAAATCGAAAGGAAGGTTACTTAGGACATAAAGTGTATCGAAAACCTACACACACGGACAGATACCTAAACAGGAACTTAAATCATCACCCAGTCCAAAAACAAGATATTATCAAATCTCTCTCGGGGAGGGCGAAGAGAATTTGTGAAACACAGCATCTGCAAAGTGAACTTCCTCATATTGAAAAAGCGCTCACCTCTAAGGGTTATACCAGAAGAGAAATACATAAAGCGATTAACAACATTTCTAGAGGAAAGGACGAAGAAACAGCATGTATAGGCAAAGCGTTCTTGCCCTATATATTTGGGGTAACACTGGGGGCGAATACTTAAAAAAGCCAATGTAAAGACCATTTTGAAACCAACAAAGAAAATCAATAACTGTTTAAGATCGGTGAAGGACAAACGAGACCTGTTAGCAACGGCCGGAGTATACCAAATACCATGCATATGTGGAATGGTATATGTGGGAACGACGAAAAGACACACCAACACAAGGATAAACGAACATAAAAGCCATTGTCGTTTAGAACATATCGACAAATCTGCCGTTGCCGAACACGCTTTGGCATATCGGATACTGTTTGAAAAAACAGAGATGCTGGATAAAACATCACAGTACTATCTACGGTTATATCAGGAAGCGGTGGAAATATATAGGCATCCAAATAATTTTAATCGGATAGAAGAAGGACTAAAAATTGGATACAAAACATGGATACCAATATTAAAATCCACAAACACCCTTCCCGAAAATCACAAAAAAAGAAAAGCTACAAACGATGCCACGCCGCCTCACGCCGAAACCAGTGGAGGGGATGCGAGTAGAAAATATAAATATGGCCTCCGTAGTACAACGCGGCGTCAGTTTCAGCTTACAAGCGAAACAGTAACATCTCCAGAAGAGGCCAACTTCTAGTTTTTGCGAAACATCGAGAATTAATCGCAGAAGATAACGGCCTAACTGCCCGAACAAACAGTTGAACAAGATAAATCAAAGTTGTCAATTACAGAGACTCCAAAAAAAGAGGTATAAGAAAAATTCTAAAGATACCTAAAAATACCCTAATAATGTTAAGGTTAGAGTTTACAGTAACTTTCACTCTTGTAGAATTTATTTTACTTGTGTATAGTTTTCATATATAAAGTGATAAACAATTTAAGCCCAACATATTATAATCAAATATTTATTAGCATAACTTTGGAAGTGCACAATTATTAAACTAGAAATAGCAATTATATTTATAATCATAGAACGAATCAACACAACTGACCAAATTCTTTGATTTTTACAGACTTTAGTCACTTTAATAAAGTGCCAAATGATATTAAGGCAATCTCACCAATTTATAACCATAAAAAAATTACCGAATATATTAAATGCTTAAGAGTCTAAATTAAAATTGCTTTATTTTATAATGCCAATCTGCCTAATAATAAAAGAGAGTTTTTTCAGCGTAATACTTACCTAAGATGCCAAAATAAGTAATGTCCTATTTGTTGATTACTAAGTGCTCTTCTAAGAAGAAAATTTACTAGATCACATTCTAAGTATAGTTCATGTTTAAGCGCTTGCACTAGCTGAAGAAGGTATAAGAGAATATCTTCATCACTAAAAATATAAATATAAGTGTCATAAAAAAGTTCTGAAACTATTTTCTTGTGACATGTCTAACTTAAATATTATGTTTATATGGGATTAAGCCACAATTGATTGTAATCAAATGTAATTGTTGGAAATTACATTTTCGACTAATGTTTAATGTTTCTCGATTTACACGAAAATGTATAATCACAAGTTGTTAGTAGGTTATGATTTTCAAATTTGATAATTTACTTGTATTGACTGTTCAGTATATTATAAATTGTAGATATGTATCTCTATCAATCCGCTATTGTTGGTTATTCTTGTTGTTAACGTCTTCTAATGGGTTTGCAACACATTTTTCTTCATTAAATAGAATGAGAGCTGCTTCTTTGACTTTTTTCTTTTTCATTTCGTTTCCTTTTTCATATTTCTTTCATGTTTATTGATACATATTTCCATTCTACTATGTGCTCGTTATCCCAGGCGTGTATGCATATCTAAAATTTGTCGAAATCTATGTTCTTGATGTATGTATGTTTCATGCTCGTTTATTCTGACATTTAGTGGTGTTGCGGTTTTCCCACATAGAAATAGTTATATTCACAAGATATTTTATACATGCAGTTCTTTTATCTTTCCTGTGTGTTGTTGGGATTGGTTTTGGAGAGGATAGATCTCAGTGTGTTGGCTCTTTTGAATGTTGTTGTGATGTTATATTTCTTCCCTATCCTGTTCAATGTTTCTGATAAGCCTTTTACATATGGTATTGCTGTCATTTTTCAACCCCTTCTTGTGAGTGTTTCTGCATTGCTTATGGTGTTTTGTTGTTTTCTTTCTTCAATCTTGTGAAATTCCTTGTTTATAAATGACAATGTAAATTTCTGATCCGTGAGGCCAAATGGAGAATACATCATCTATATATCTCCACTATACTGTGTGTTGTTTGTATATAGAACAAAACATTATTGCTGTTATAGAATTTTTTATATAAAAATGAGTGCACGTCATTCCAGATTTACGACGCCAGAACCCCACAGCGTTGCCAAAATATCAGAATAGTTAATAAGTGAGGAATTTTTCAAATTTCAACTATCTAAGAATACAATACACTAGTCAATTGGATTTTTAAAATAAAGAAAATAACTACACTTTCAAAATTGATTTTAACAGTAGATACACTTAGTTTCTTTAAGAATACTGCAACACACTAAAATACATAACAAACATTTTAATAAAAAATTACATATTCTAAATTATAAACATACTTCTTTTAGAGCATTAATAGTAAAAACGTCCTGCCATTATTTCTTGTTCAAAATAATCTATTAAAGCTTATCAGCTTTCCACATACGATTTACTTGTTTTGGCATAGACAATCACAATACATAAAAATAATTAGTTTTTAAAGCTATTTATATTATATATTGTGGTCAAATTGTGTAAGAAATCAAAACATAAACAAAATTCTTATTCTAAAAAGCGATAACACTTTAAACAATGTTGTCAATCGGTGAACTGTCATTGAAACTTAAAGTATTCGCTTATCAGTGGCGTACGATTGTCTAATCTATTTAATTAAAATTATTGTTGTGGACTTAATACTGGACTATTAACCTAAACAATTATTTCATAAATTTCATATTATTAATAATAACAAATGTTTTTGGGTATTTAATCAATTTATTTTTAAAATTCCCAATATAATCATGATTACATTTTTCTGATTATTATACCATGTTGACGCCTATGAAATATCGAGCAGTTTTGTATGGGTGTGGTATTATTAGCTGTGTTAGGAAAATTTAAACTCTAAGGTTGATGTTCTGGAAATTTTAAATACAAGTGACGTCACTTTATATAAATTATTACGTGGACCGTTTACTTTGAAATGGTATATCAACATTTAGGCCAATCAAGTTAGGTTTTTACTCATCACAAGTGTATAGACGGGTTTGACAGTTGAAATAAGTAGTATGAGATATTACAAAAAGACTCTCATCTAGGGATTCATGAATTTTTTAGTGGAAATATTTTTAAATAAACAATTAAAACATCAAGATCATTATTTTGCTCATAACTTATAAACTTGTCTATTTAGAGATTTGACGTCCACAGACAAGTTGTTGAGAAAAAAAAATACACAAAATGAAATATACTAAATTAAAATCGGTTAATAAACAAAAAAGTTATTGCATAATAACCAAGCAAAACCACTGTTTTTGATTATTGTTAATTACTCTTTTATTAATCAATAAAATTTATTTAAATGTATCTGAACTTAAAGACCTTATCGTGTACGAGGTGTGTGCGAAAGATAGGCTAGATCCGTCGAATAGTTTTTGCACAATTTAATTTGTTTATAAGATTTTTTGAAAAACGCACAAATTTCTAAGGCCGGTCCAGATAATTTGACTGAATGGATCTTAATAATCCGGGGCTTATTTTCTTTGTTGAGACATATATTAATATCCTATGGAAAAAAAAGTTAAAAAAAATTACGTTTATGTACACAAAATGATTTAACAATAAATAGCACTTTTTAAGCGTATAAACATTTACAATAACTCCGTACTATTTAGTTTAAATTAAATGGCAATAAAATATTCGGAAGGCGGGTTTAAAAAACAACAACTTTTAAAAAAAAAAGGTCCTGCGACCATTAGGAGCCGAGTTAGTCCTTTTTAAAAAAAAATCACTGTTACGTCAATTAACAACATTAAGGGCTGAAATTAACCAATCTTTTAGAAGAAAAGTCAAAGTTTTTAACAAAATATTTAGCAAACAAAATAATTGAAAATTGATTAAACAGGAGTGTTGTAAACCAAGAGTACTTTGCGTTTCGACTCAAATGGAAGCAGTGGGGATTGCCGATTGCACTCAAGCCGCGCTCTAAAAAAAGTCGAGCGTCGAGCGCACGTCGAAAGCAGATGCTGTTAGGCCGTTAAGTTACAACTCATTTTCCTGCGACTATACAACCGGTTTGTTGTATTGAAATATTTAGTGTTTTGTTTTATTTAATAATTGTTACAAATAGTTAATGGTAAGTAAAATTCATCTGAGTATTAAAAAAACTACGTGTTGTGATGTATATTAACCTGGCAACGCCCTTAATTATTTTTTTTTGTGTATGTTTGCGTTTGTTTCAAAAACTACTTAAAATGGTTTAGAAAACACTAGAAAAATATTGAAAAAATTTTTTGACAGTGCTAAATATTGAATTTACCCCGTATCCATATGGATCCCGTGGGCATTAAAAGAATAAACCTATTAAATCACAGAACAAATATGACAAAAAAATTATTGCATTTTTATTGAATAAAAAACCTATAAATACAAGTATAAGAAAGTACAAACTAAGTATAAAATCTAACTAATTCATTTTTTAGTGTGATAGGTTACAAAACATGGTACACATAATCCAACATTGGATTGACAATTTGATGCATATTGTTCTCACTTTACTTTTACAACTTTCTAACCCACATCTTCGCCTTTTACCATCTTTAGTAGAATCTACCAAATGTCCAATGTTATCGTATCGTGTTATGGTATCGTACCTGACATAGTATTACTTTTCTCGAGTTAGTTTGAGGGATTAGATTTGGTCCTGGTCGTAAAGTAATAGTTTGGTATTTTGTCAAATATCCTTGTAGTAAAGTGCGCCTAAATGTTAACTGGGACATTTTTGGGTCTTGATGGCGATACATTAACCAAGCATTAATGACACACAAATCAATAAGATATGTAAAGGGATTCCACCACCACTTTTTTCCTCGTATGTTTATCCTATACTCAGTTAAATTTCGGTCCATTTGGTCTGTTCCCCCCATATACTCATTATATTTTCCTATCACAAACGGCCTCGGTACTTGAATATTTTTATGTTGCTCCTTGGAATATCGCTTTACAGGGCGTACAGGTTGAAGACCATGACAAGTTGAAACTACTGACACAACGTCGTTGTCTTTCCATCTTACAAAAAATATACCTGATTTTCTGTCTATGGCGCTACAGAATTATCCTCTGGTTTTTATTAATTGTGGATCAAGTGCCTGTGGAAAGATTTTTTTTTTAATTTCGATTTAGTTTTTGTTTGTTTCCTTTTTCTTTAACCAGCTGCTTCGATTTTTTAACAGGAGCATTCGATTTTCTTACTTCTAGTTTAGGAATTCTGTTACTTCTCATTGTTCCAGTAGCGTGGTAGCCTCTGAATCTAAGGAAGTTAAATAGATTTACTGAAGTAAAGAGATTGTCAAAGTAAAAATGATATTTTAAATTCCTTTTTTGTGCAGGAAATTCGCTTAAAAGTTTAACAAAGGGAGAAGCAGCCTTTCCAAAACTTGTGCTATAAACATCAGGAATTGTAGCATTTTCCCTTGATACATATCAAACGTCACACAATAACCTTCTTTCGTGTTAATACACCAAGCCTTATAGCCAAACCGGATCGGTTTTCCTTTAATAAATTGTTTAGCGCTATGTTTTCCAAAATACTTTATCATACTTTCGTCAAAGTTTAAATTTTCTTCTGGCACAAAAAGTTCAAGGAATCTTTTTTTTATCATATTCATTAGAGGTCTAATTTTCGCAAACTTGTCGGTCATATCCAGTTTATTGTTGTCGGAACAGTGAATGAACTTCATGATGGACAGGAATCTATTTCTTCTCATAGCTCTCGATACCAAGTCATTTCTAATATCTTCGGACTTCTCCCAATAGTGACGTTTAGATGGGACTGAATTGTAACCACTCAAAATAAGGATTCCTATGAAGCATTTTATTTCATCATGTGTAATATTTAGATTCTCTTGATTTTTAAAAGCTGTATATTTAGTAGTTTCCTGAGCCAAGCGTTCAATAATTTCATTGGTAAAAAACATTTCAAATACTTCGATAGGGGTATTATTTTTAAAAAGTTTATAACTCGATGTAGAAAAAACTCTTTTTACATATTTCAATATATCACCTTCAATATATTCTACGTTTTGTACATTATCTCTTTGATAGTCCAACCAAGAACCAATAAATTCTGGAATTTTATTTACATTACGTTGGTCAAAATTTTCTGAATAACTATTAGTTTGTCGTTTGTAACTGAAGAGCTACTGGGGCCTGGTGTAAACTGTTGAGAAACACATGAAGAAATGGTTGAAAGTTCTTGAATAGCATCATCTGAATTACCACCAATGCGACCGTTAGTAAAAACAAGCTCTGCAGGTGCTAAAAGTTGCTTGCCAGGTAAATGTAGAAAAGTTCCGCCTTCATCCTAGTCTCCAGATTCTTCATCAGTAAGTATGTTACTTGGTGGAGGTTCAACAAAGATTTTTTCTAGGGCTATATTATCATCGTTTTTTAAAATAAGCTCTATTGCTTCCTGTAGCAAAAATCCAGGACTGAAACAAAAAAAAAGTTTAGGTGCCCACGGGGTCCATATGGGTACGGCATGAAAAAGCTTCAAATAAATGCAACTTGCACAAACATAAATTCATCAAACTATACATTCTTATAAACTTTCAGCTGTTAGTAACGTAATAAAACAAAATTAAAATAATAACTCAGAGCCTACCACAAAATATCGTTTAGTGCTTGAACATCGATAAGGTCATCCATTTTAAAAATTGAAATAAAACGTACACGTTCACTCTACTGAAATAATTTCAATACTAAGAAGAATTTACACTTCCTAAAAACGTGCCAATGCACTGATATCCCCTCCATTTAAAAACGATAAGATGTGAGAGGCTTGAAAATATAGCGTACCCATGTGGACCCCAGGGGCGGTTCCAGGTTTTAATATAAACACATGGTTGTACCACGTTGTCTGAATAATATACGGTTAACTTTGAATATAATATTATTTTACTATTATAATGTACTAATATTTATGAAATTATTAATGAAGAAGAAAACGATACAACAGATGAACAAGAGATAATTGATGAAATGTATTTAACTGGGTTTGATGAGAATAGCGACAATGAAAATGAAATGATTTATGAAAGTTATAATACAAGTGAAATTGAAGATGAAAGTGAAGATGAATGTTTACATAGTACTAGCAGTGACGATATAGAAATTAAGCGTAGAAAATTACAGTAAATTAAATTATTTTAAAAAATCACTACACAAATTTTCAACTTCTGTAATAACATAAAATTAATTTATTATTTCATTAATAAATTTTTAGTAAACATTATTCAAAATGTTCATTTACTTATAACATTTATTTAATATAATCATATATGAAATAAATAAATAGAAAAATAACAATAAAAAGACGACTTAAGAAAAAGTTTGTACATTCCGTAGTCATTAGCTGCTTTGTTTTGAATAATTTTGCAATGAAAGTACGTTAAATGTTATTATTTTAACGTTGTACCCCAGTTTAAAAAAAAAGAACAAATTTGGTCCACTAGAACCCGAGATATGTCATTTTTTCCAAGCACTCTATTTTGAAACCGTGCGCTCGACTTTTTTGGAGAGCGCGGTTTGTGTGCAATCGGCAATCCCCACTCCTTCCATTCTAGTCGGAACGCAAAGTACTCTTCGTTTACAACACTCCTGTTTAAATAATTTTCAATTATTTTTTTTGCTAAACATTTTGTGCATAACTTTGACTTTTCTTCTAAAATATTGGTTAATTTCAGCCCTTAATGTTGTTAATTGACGTAACAGTGATTTTTTTTAAAAAAAAGGACTAACTCGGCTCCTAATGGTCGCAGGACCTTTTTTTTTTTTTTTTTTTTTTTTTTTTTTAAAAAGTTGTTGTTTTTTAAACCTGCCTTCCGAATATTTTATTGCCATTTAATTTAAACTAAATAGTACGGAGTTATTGTAAATGTTTATAAACTTAAAAAGTGCTATTTATTAATAAATCATTTTGTGTACATAAACGTATTTTTTTTTAAATTTTTTTTCCACAGGATAATAATATATGTCTCATCAAAGAAAATAAGCCCCGGATTATTAAGATCCATTTAGTCAAATTATCTGGACCGGCCTTAGAAATTTGTGCATTTTTCAAAAAATCTTATAAACAAATTAAATTGTGCAAAAACTATTTGACGGATCTAGCCTATCTTTCGCACACACTTCGAACACAATGAGATCTTTAAGTTTAGATACATTTAAATAAATTTTATTGATTACTAAAAGAGTTATTAACAATAATCAAAATCAGCCGTTTTGCTTGGTTATTATGCAATAACTTTTTTGTTTATTAACCGATTTTAATTTAGTATATCTCATTTTGTGTATTTTTTCTTTCCCAACAACTCGTCTGTAGACGTCAAATCTCTAAATAGACAAGTTTATAAGTTATGAGCAAAATAATGATATTGACATCTTAATTGTTGATTTAAAAATAGTTCCACTAAAAAATTCATGAATCCCTAAATGAGAGTCTTTTTGTAATATCTCATACTATCCATTTCAACTGTCAAACCCGTCTATACACTTGTGTCGAAAAAACGCTTATTTTCTACTAACTTGACTCGTCTAATTGCCCTATTATTAATAAAAAAAATATTATTATGTAAAAAACAGAAACCATTGGAAATTAAACAAATGCGATTCAGGCTATGTTTCGCGAATGATAATGCGAAGAAACTGAATGTTAAGACCCAAATGCACTTATTTAAATAAAATATTTAAATCAGTAATTTATTATATCGTAATTTACAATTATCTATGGTACTAACCTCACGTCATATAAACACTCTACAGCAAATTTTCTAACTTCCTGATCAGCATATGCGTAATCTAATAGTTCTAAGGCCTTTTCAACCGGTAGCTTAGGCCATACTTTGAGCATTGCGACAACTTCGCTAACTTCCTCACGTTTATCCCAGTCTATACAATATAAAAGTTTAGGTAAAACTTCCGGTTCAGTTTTACGCCAATGGTTTTTTAGAGCCCATATTTTTTTACGTTCCTGAAATATAATTTAATGTTACACATTTTTCTAATCATTTTTATTTATATCAGCAAACAACATTACAATATTTAATAATAACTCTAACTGAATGGCAGATTTAGGTAATGCAGGTTGCCTATTATGAATTTGAATCAGGGAAAATACTGACATACATACGTATGACGTCGAACGAAGTTTTTCTATAATTCTTTTATAATGTATATGGTATTTTTGTCGTATTGTAGCAGAATTCCTTGCTGATATTTTGTTCCATTTCCTTTATTTATTCATGTGTTGTTTTTTTGTATACATGAGTCCCATATCCACTATTTTCCTTTGAGATTAAAACATCCAGAAAAGGTAACGAATTATATTCCTTTTTCCATTGTAAATTTTATTGACTCCTCCTTTTATCTTTTATTTATATTAATCAGAAACGTATTCAACACATCATCTACATATGTATTTCCAACATATTGTGGGCTTAAAATTTTGATTAGGAATGTTTGTTTTGAAGTCTTCCATCAATATGTTAACTAATAATGGATTTAAAGCACAGCCTAAAAATTTTGTTTATAGAAATCCTTGTATAGATGAAAATAAGTGTTGTCAGTAGATAATGTCAACCATTATAGCTGATACATTTAATTTGGTTCTAGTTGTTAATCTATCATTTTGTAATTTGGTCCTAATTGTTTTCAAAGTTCTATCTAATGGTATATTTGTAAATAGACTATTTATTTATATTAAAACTTACTTAGAAAATATTACATATACAAATCATTGTACCAAATTATATTACCATTTAAAAAATATAGATAATTTTAATAAAATTTGTGATTTTTATATTATTATATACCTTATTAAAAACAGTTAAATAAAAGCATGGCAATCCAATACATTAAAGTTGTTTGAATTATATATATATATATATATATATATATATATATATATATATATATATATATATATATATATATATATATATATATATATATTTATATATATATATATATATATATATATATATATATATATATATATATATATATATATATATATATATATATATATATATATATATATATATATATATATATATATATATATATATATATATATATATATATATATATATATATATATATATATATATATATATATATATAGGATCCAATAATTAAATAATATACCTGGTGTTCCATCTAAAATAATAAAGTTGGCATCAGTATTTACATGACATTACACTCTGTATAACACATTTTTATTGGAAACGTATGCGCAACAAATAATATTAAAAGCCAGAGCTTTTCGAGAAACTATCCATCATTTAATAAATAATTTTTATATAACTGTGCTGTATAATGTATTTCGAAACGGGAAAATGATTCATTTATAGATATTATAAAGAAAAGGTCTATAAAACGTTTTTGAGCAAGTCAAAAAATTTTACATTATAAGTAGAGACTGGATTATATGCAAAATGCATGTGCATATATATGCAGCATATTTGTGGATTTCTTTATAATGCATATGCTATTCATATTTACTTGATTAAGAGCATATTGCCACATATTTGAAAATATCACGTAAATAAAATGGATGCTTAATTCTCTTATTGGTCTAGTTTTAAAAGGTGCTTTTGTAACATACATAGGTGCAAGAAAAGTGTCCCAGCTACGCACCAAGTAGTTATCAACCACTTCTACTTTATAAGGCACATGTTTTTGACGAGCCAATCGTAACACTGCTTCCCAATCTTTTGGGGTTTCTGCTGCACTTTTTTGATTAACGATACCAAAATCTTTACCCGTCTCCATGTAAGAGTGACCTCTTATAGGAAAGGTCACAGAAATAGAGTCAAATCCGTTTATTTTATGGACTAAATAATGTAGAAACCGGAATACCGTCCAATTTTTATTTTGGTCTCCACACGAATCACAGAAAATCACTAAGTTACGAACTTCAGGAGGAAGCTGTATTGTCACATAGTCATACAGAAATGAGCAAACTTCATTGGCACCCTTTCGAGCTACTGTCTCAGGGTAAGAGTACACAACAACATCATTATCACTAAGTCGATGGACATTAAAGGAGTAGAAAGACAACTGCCTTTTATAATACACGTCGTTACTCGTAATATTGGGCATTGGAAGGTTTTTATTATAGTCCATGGATATGACTTCATATTCTCTTGAGATCCTTGCTCGTAGTTTAGCTTTTGTTTTTCGTTTATAAAATGTCTGTGCTTTCAGCAAGTGAAGTTTCTGCCCTGTTTTAAGTTTATTAATTAATTTTTCATCTTTACATTCCCTTATTTTTATTTTGGAAGCATCACAAATGCTGCAAGTGTCGGTTCTGGTATACCCAAAGGAGATATTAAAGCGTGTGTTGAATGTTTTTCTATATACTTCATAGCACACTGTTCTATTGGAATGTTTCTCAAGGAACATTTTGTACATCTTTTTAATGTTAAGTTCCTCTGGAAGGTACTTCCTGCTAGATTTTTTTTAGGCTGTAGTGACTCATGCGTCCTTTGAATGATTTTATGTGATTTAAAATTAACTGCATAGTTTCTTCAGACAATTTATTGGGTCTTAAGTCATGTTTACCTCTATTGTCATTGGCGGTTGTACCATGTTTTAGGGCTTTTTGTACAATTTGTAATCTTCTCGTGAACATGCCATGAAAAGCAACACAAGCTTTTTGACAAACCTGAACGTCTTTTGCAGGTGATGTATGCCCCTCATCATTAGTTACCACAAGGCGAATTCTCTAATAAAAAGAGCCATCTCTTACGTTGCAATTCTCTTCATATTTTCTTGGCCTTCTTTGAGTTACAGGAAGTATGGATATTAGACCACCCAAATACATACTTTGCTCGTCCCAATTCAGCATAGAATTAAAATTACGAATAATTGTATTTCTTTGTTCAACCGTTATATTTTCAAAACACTGATAACGTATCGCCCAAAACTTTTTCGTTTTCTTGTAGTTTTTGACTGTAAAGCCTCTTCAATTTCGCTGTCCTCACTTTCCATATTAATAAACAATAGTTCAAACTTACCAAACGTTAAAAAACAACCTGTGATTATGATAATATTGATACTTAAATAAACAACTTGTATGAATGCTGAACACTGATTGTGATTTTCCGTTGTGATTTGTCCCTATGGACAGGCGCATTGAGCACCTAAATCTGACTTATAGCATTGTTGCCTAGTTTAACCTTGACTTGCAACGCTCTTCCATTGAACAGCAATATTTTATTCGTTTGTAACGTTTGACTTATTGCACTTTTATTTTGTTTGATATTTGTGGATTGTACTACGTGTATCAAAGTATCGAAAAATCCTCAAGAAATCGATAAAAATTGACTTACAGCGTTTTCCCCCTGTAGTCTTCATTTGTAAATAGACTATTTATTTATATAAAAACTTACTTAGAAAATATTACATATACAAATCAATGTACCAAATTATATTAACATTTAAAAATATAGATAATTTTAATAAAATTTGTGATTTTGTTCTATCTAATCGATGTTTTATTTAAGTCAAGCATAGACACAACTATACAGATCCCTCTTTTGTAATAACTCTTCAGTTTGTTTCTGAATAATACATCTACAAAAAAGGTGCTACCTACGTATTTGATTGATTCATGCCTTATAATTAGAGACTGGATTATATGCTCTAAAAAATGGTTAAAATATGCATGCAACATGCACTTAAACAGTATTAAGAAAGAATTTATCTATTGGTATGTGTTGGACTTTACACTGGACATGTTTCAAGGTTAAATTTCACAATTCGTAAATCGTAGTAACGCAAGTGATCCAAAGTTTTAACGAGCCTAAGTTCAAGAATTTGTTGATTTGGTGATATAGAAGGGCTTGCGGGGAACGAAAAGAGGTATCGGGTGGGCTTTTGAAATCGGCGAGAGAAGGTCAAGTTTAGCTGGAGAGAGTTGCTTGAGCGAGGCGAAGGTTGTTAACGGTTATGTAGTGACCCGGCATTAATTCGACAGAAATAGTGGACTTTTCACTCTATGTAATGTGTCATATTTGAAAGAGTGACCACTGCTTCGGTTTTCTGAAGATTTTAGAATGTTTGAAAAGTGAACAAGTTTGGTTCCTGTTTTTTTAAGAAATCCCGTTTTTCCATCTTCTCCTTCTTTTTAAAGTGCCCTCTCCTCAATGGAGGTTGGCTACTACAATTTTAAACTCTTCTCTATCTTCAGCTGTTCTTATTAGCCGTTCAAAATTTAGCCCTGTCCATTGTCGGATGTTTCTGAGCCACGATAGTCTTTTCCTTCCTAGGCCTCCCTTCCCCTCGATTTTTCCTTTCACTATAAGTTGGGCATATTGGTACTTATTATTTCTCAGTATGTCGCCTAGGTATGATGTTTTTCTAACTTTTACTGTGTTGAAAAGTTCTCTTTCCTTGCCTATTCTATGCAGCACTTCTTCGTTTGAGGTATGCGATGTCCATGAAATTTTGAGTATTCTCTGGTAGATCCACATTTCAAAGGCCTCCAATTTATTTACGGTTGATGTTTTATGGGTCCACGTTTCAACTGCATATAGAAGAGTCCAAGGTTTGTGCAAATGCCTCTTCACCTCATTTAGCATGTTATTGGAGCAGTTTTGTATTTGAACGTGCCAGTGTGCCAGTTTCAGTCTCCAATGGATAAAGCTTTTCGTTGATGATGTCCAGATAGCTTCTACCTCAGAGATATTAGCATGGTTTTCAGAATTTAAAGGTGTAAAATATGTGAATTAAGGTAACATTTAATGTATTAATTTTTAAAGTAAAGTAGACATTTTTTGCTAGGTAACAATAATTGCTTTCATTTAAAATTTATGAATCTGTAATAATTAAAATTATATATACTAGGGCGTGGCTAAAAAATGTCATAATTTATTCTGTCTTAAAATGTTGTGTTGACATATGACAGCTAGCTTAATTTGTTTCTGTTGTGACAAATTTTTTATTTGTTTGTAGAAAAGGTCCTTA